TGCGGCCCCATTCTGCTTAATTCATCACCAGATGAACAATTCACCCATATGGGAAGCCACATGTTCGGAACTTTGATTTAGGTTTGGGGTTCACAGAAAAATGACTGCCCTGATAGAGGAGGTAGGTAGAACTTTCCATTTTCCAGCCTATTCGTCTTCAGAGCACAGAAGTGAATTAGTCTCCTTGGCCAGACTTCTTGCAATCAAGTGGCTTTTTCACAAGTCTGTCTGCTAACTTGGATCTGGGTACAGCCCAGGGAAACCCCAACTACCCTCTGGCACAAGAAGCCCCAGGACAGGCTTTGAGTGTGCGTCTCAGTGAACGGTCTCCAGGGCTTTGTCAACTGAAAAGCAATTGCTCTAAACACATACTCGATGACACACAAGGTCCATATTTTAACTTCCTTTTGTTCTACCCAATAAAGATCCTGCGATCTAAGAGTGTTCATTGTAGCCTCATTAAGTCGGGGTCACGAAACCTAAAGTCAAAGCATTTTAACATCAATCCCTGTCCTTTTTGCTAAGAAGACATCAGCTGTCCTCTGGAGCCACTCTGATGGCTCGATTCTGGACCCCTGTCACTGTCACCGAGGCATCCTAACCCACGGGAAAGCATCCCTTGGGAGAGGTCAGTCTGTGAGGGGAGGTCAGCGGGATCTTCTAGATGCTTTTCTTTTCGAACGATTTCTAGTCTACTTGTTCTTAGTGAGGCACAGCATTAAATTCCTGTGAAGATTTCCACAGGACAAATGAAGGTGGCTAGAGAGGAGTGAGACTGTGCATCTGGAAGAATAGGAAGTATCGTGCCTAAGACGTCTTTGACTCTGGTCCCTGTCATCCCTTCTCCAGCCGGGCACTCTATCAGGGCACCACACGTGGGTACTATTGCACATCACACATGTCATTTCTAGTCCCCACAGCATCACAGGGGGACATTGTGGCTGAAGAGGAAAGGGCCATGTGTCCTTAGTCCCACAGCTTGAAAGAGGTCAGGCTGGGCTGAGTAGACTTGTCAATCTGACTCCAGTACACATCATGAGAACTTAGCTTTTGAAATGGCTGCAACCTTTGTACGGTACTTGGTATCTAGTGGGTGGCAAAGTGTTGCCAGCACATGATTAGAGCCCAGCTTGCTTCTAACTATTCTGCTAGCATAAAATGAGAGTGTTAACCTTGGGAAGTTGACTAAAATATTGAAAATGTTGACATCAGGAAAATAAAGTGACATCCTCAAGGATCACCTGACTCAGGAATCTCACCCCAGCCCTTGACTGTTCTGGCAAATTCCACATTGATTGTTGAATAGAGGAAAAAATCCACGCATAAAGTTATATGCTCCATTTAAGTTTTTCAATGGTCTGACTTCACTGACCTATCAGTTTTGTCCCCTATAGATATAGCTTCAACTTTTCAAAAATAATAGTAACACCCTATCATGTAAATGTCATCAGTAGATGAATGGATAGACCAAGTATAGCACATACATACCATAGGGTATTACTGGTTTCCTTAGTCAGTTCCAACTCATGATAGCCCAGCTACAACAGAACGAAGCACTGTCTGAGCCTGTGCCAGCTTCACACTATTTGGTGTGCTTAAATCCATTATTGCAACCACTGTACATTTTGTTTCTCTTCGACCTTAGGGGGATCACCTTCCAGCTCTATGTCACATAATAGTCTATTGTGCGCCATAGATTTTTAACTGGTTAATTTCCAAAAGCAACTTTCCAGGCTTTCCTCATAATCTGTCTTAGTCTGGAATTTCTGATGAACCCCATCTACCATGTATGGTTTTGCTGGGGCTTGACATCCAAGTGGTATAACTTCCATCACCATAGTGTAACACATTGACAGGTGGTATAATGGAATATCCTCAGTTAATTAAAAACAAATAAAGTACTAATATATGGTATTTGCACATGGAATAGCCTTGAAAATATTAAGTTAAATGATGGTAAGGCAGATACAAAAGGAAAAATATTATCACGCTTATCTTGACATAACTGGAATAGATAAATCCATCAAGACATAAGAAGATTTAGTGGTTACCAGGGAATGAGGAAAGGTGGGTACGATAAGTTTTTTAAAAAGAAAGAAATAAGTGCACATCTAATCAAATGTTGCCTCATTTAATGCAGTGGTTCTCAGCCTTCCTAATGCCGTGACCCTTTAATACAGTTCCTCATGCTGTGGTGACTCCACCAACCATAACATTATTTTCGTTGCCACTTCATAACTATAATTTTGCTACTGTTATGAATCGGGCAACCCCCAAAGGGGTCATGACCCACAGGTTGAGAAATGCTGATTCAATGTGTACAGTTGGACTCAATATAGTTAATTGAAAAAAATTATATAAAATAATATTATTACACGAAATATTAATTACTATGCATATGTCAGCATATTAATATAGAAGGAGATATCTAAAATGTTAATGGTATTTAGCTCTGATTTTTGCATGGGATTGGTGATAGAATTTTTTTTCATTTACATATATTACCTAGTTTCTCTACCCTTTAAAAAACCCAGTCAGTCAGCCAATTATCACCTATACTGACTCTAAGGCAGAGTAGAACTGCCCCTTTGAAATGGAGAGACTGTAAATATTTATTAAATCAGAAAGCCTCATCTTTCTTCCATGGAAGGACTGGTGGATTTGAACTGCTGACCTTGTTGTCAGCCCAACTATGAGCCTACTGCCCCACCAGAGCTCCTGTCCACCTTTGAAGCAATAAAAAAATAGAATTAAAATAAATATGGCAAGTTTATACCCAGAAGCTTTAAGAATAACTGAAATATGTTATTAAAGCAACTAGATAGAATTCCGGAACCTGGGTGGCACAGTGGTTCGTAATTGACCACTAACCTAAAAGCCGGGGGTTTGAATCCACCCAACATCTCCATAGAGGAGAAGTCTGGGAAATTGCTTCTGTAAAGACGGTAGCCAAGAAAACTCTATAGATGTTCTACTCTTTAACCCATGAAATCACCAATAGTTAGCAGCTAACCACAACAGATAGGACTCCACCAGGCCCCCCCCTCCCTCCTACCATTATCATTTTATCTACAGAACCTTATGGGAAAGCCATACACAATCATTTATTTGAAAGAAAAGGTATGGCAAATGAGTTATATTGAATAACTCTAAAATTGACCAAAAGGGAATCATGAAAGTAGATGTAAAACAATAGAAAACTCAACACTCTGGCTAAGGTAATCATATTGGCTAAGAACAGCTTGCTGGCTGTGTCAGCACCATGGGCCACAGTCTAAAGGCCAGGAAGGAGGTAAAGGGAAGTTTGCAGAAGGATAATCTTCAATGTTTCAAGATTATGGCATGTTTGAATTCTCGTTTTTTGGTAGTGGAAAATATAAACATACAATGTAGGTATTAATCTGTTCTTAGGAAGATGGAAGAACACTGTGGAAGTGTGTTAGTATCTTAAATTCAAGAAAAAAATCATTATTTAAGTTTAGAGAAATAAATCTTCATTAGGAATTGGAAGTTATGGACTATAGCCAGTCATGCACTTAACATGATTCTCAAGTGTAATGAAGAAAATTCAGTGTTAAAGAGGAACCTGGACTCCTGGGTGGTGCAAATGTCTAAGATGTTCTGGTGGGAACCAGAAGGCTGGCGGTTGGAGTCTATCTAGATATGCCTTACAGTCTACTTTTTAAAGTCCAGCCATTGAAATCTCGTTGATTTCAGTTGTTCTACTCTGACATAAATGGTGGTCAGGAGCCGGAATACACAGCCACTGGTGGTCTGTCTTAAGGAGAGGCCTTAAGACTGACTTTTTTACGTCTCCAGTGTCAGGTGACAGGACTGATCTGTTGATTCAATGTGAACATTGTGTTCATTAAGCGACAAAATTCTATGTGTGTTTTTCATGTCAACCAAATTAGTCATTGCAGCATTGAGCTCTGATTAGTAAAGGAAAACTAATTATGCAGCTATGGATAACTATTTCTTCTACCACTATCAGAGCACAATGCACAGAGATCACATACTGATGACACACAGTGGGGTGATGCCCCAACTACCACCACCACCAATGACAACCTTGGGCAAGGCCACCCTTAGTCACAAACTCTCAGAACCTAATTCTAGCCTTGTGCTTTCTAGGAATTGAAATTTGTCTTATCCATAGCAGCAAGATTTCATTTGTGAAGAAATGAATATGAAAATATAAATTATGAATGAACATGGGATTGCATATCTACACCATTTGCCATTTCCACTCTCTAGACTTTTGAAAGACATAACTGTAAAAACACTCAGGGTTTCAGTTTAGTGGTGTCTTTTCTATTTTAAAAATAATCATCCACAAGTCTGCTGGACTCATGCTATTACACTACATGATCTTTAAAGCAAAGTGTCTGCCCTATAAAAAATTTAACATCAAGTCCATCCCACTCTTAATATAAAAATATCACAAAGAAATGTGCCACCAAGAGTACCCAGAGCCAGACAGAGACCAAAAGATAAATCTGGAGAGACAGAAACGAGACCAGCAGAGGCTGAGGATGAAAAGTGGCAACATTTGCACAGGAGACTTGCAGAGAATCTATCCTCCCGCGGAGCCCATCGGCCTTCATCGCCTTGTTTAATAAATAGGAGCAACATGGGATTTTGCGGGGACACAATTAAAATGAATGGGTTTCTCCGGCTTACGACCACAAGATGACCCTGCCTGGCAGTGTCTGTCCACGAGTCCAGGGAAACGTTGGGTAGAACCCTGTCGTGGACCAGACACTTCTTCACGAAGTTTAATGCGCTGACAGTATCCCACGCTCCTGCGCGAAGCTGGTCGCAGGACTGGCACGGCAGGAGGGAGAATGGGATGCTGATGTGGCTCCCTCGGACAGCTCGGCACCCCACCCCCACCCCACCCCCCGGGCGCTATGCGGCCCAAGATCCGTTGGAATTCCTTCAGAAAAGTGGGCCTAAGGGGTCCCCACCCACACTCAGATGGAGCTTGGCTGGCTCACCTCAGTGTTAGAAGGCCGCTTTGGTCACCAGCATGCTGGTTGGTAGCACCCGGCGGGCGTTGCTCCGGGTGCCCTTTCTTCTGCTCCGTTGTCTGCTGGCCTGGGGACACGCAGCCTCGGGTACGGTGCTGGAGAGCTGGTCCTCCAGCCTGAGGTTCTGGTTCGGGTCCACTCACTGGGCCGGTCCAGCCACTACCCTTAGCGCTCGATCGGATCCCAGTGGTGCGTCCACACCCTGGGACTGGATTGCTAGCCGCGGCCAGAGTCAAAGCGCAAAGTTTCCCCGGAGTGGCCGGGGCGGAGCCTCCCTCCTCCTTGACCATCCCTCCTCCTTGGCCATCCCTCCTCCCCATTTCCTCGAGCTCCCGCCGCCCGCCCGCCCGATCGGCTCTTCTCCCGCGATCTTCTGGGTCCGTCTGCGTCCGTCGCCTCTGGTCTTCGCTCCCTTCCAGAGGGTAGCCGGCCTGGGACCCTATGCTACTGCACATCAGGCCATAACCCTTCCCAGAACA